GTGCAAGTTTAATCTTCCCACTGTTTTTAGAGAAACTTTATCGCATTTAGAAGGCATTTCCCACCCATTGGTCCGGTGTCACCTTCCCGTCCAAAGCCAGGGACAAATTGTGGGGACTCAGTCCCTTCTGAGACCGTCCCACCCTTCCCCCAACCTGGAAGTCCCCCAGCTCCTCTGAGCCCTTGCTTTCCCTTGGGATTTAGAGTTTTAGCAAACATAAAAAGTGAAATCTTGATTCCCCCACAATAAAAGAAGAAACGAGGGTAGGGTAAGAGAACTGTCTCTTTTCCCCCAACCCCCTTGCTTTCTTAAACCAATTTAGGAAAAAGGCTGAATGATGGGGAAAAGAGGTGGAATTTCCCTGAAGTTCTCTGCCCCCCTTCCTTTCAATAGGAACCGGGCATGGGGCCAGCTGTGTTGGCAGGGGCCCTGGCAGCTGCGCTTGGGCAAGAGGCACCAACGGGCAAGGTTGTAGGGGAGGGTGCTGCCAGGATTTCTCTTGTCATACAATGGGCAGACAAATCCAGCTTGGATGCCTGGGATCCCCATCCAGAGTGGTTGAAGCTGGGGAAGCAGGAAGAAGGAAGCTCTGGTTCTAACTAAACAACCTAACCTTCTCCCATCTTCCCACCTAGATTTCTAACTAGATTTCTAACCTCCAAGGCATCTAGTTCATTGTTCTACCTCCTGGCTGGTCTATGTCTTGGGGCATCTGTGTACATCTTTCCATTATCCAATCACTTTCCCCATGTCCCCCAGGCTCCGTGAGTGCCACACAGTGGGGAGGGGGTGGGGGCCATCATGTCATCGTATCAGAAGGAACTGGAGAAATACAGAGACATAGATGAAGATGAGATCCTAAGGACCCTGAGCCCCGAGGAGCTAGAGCAGCTGGACTGCGAGCTACAGGAGATGGACCCTGAGGTAGGGGCCGCAGCACAGGGAACCAGGGGCAGTCTCCAGGCATTTGGGAAGGGTGAGGGGCCCTGGGTGGCTAAGATCGGGGCTGCCTACAGGGCTTGGAGTCCCAAGGGGGCCAGGGAAAGGGTGTCTGTAGATGTCTTAGGGAGCCCTGGGGGTGCCCCAGATGAGAGAAGAGGTCCGACTTGCTCCCCAAAACTCATCCCTCAGAACATGCTCCTGCCAGCTGGACTAAGACAACGTGACCAGACGAAGAAGAGTCCAACGGGGCCGCTGGACCGGGATGCCCTTTTGCAGTACCTAGAGCAGCAGGCACTAGAGGTCAAAGAGCGTGATGACCTGGTGCCCTTCACAGGCGAGAAGAAAGGTATGGAGACCCTAACAACCATGCCTACCAAAACCCAAATGGTTGTCTCTCAAGTGTACCCCTTCCAGCTTCCCTCTCCCCTTCCAGCTCCTAGCTGCCCAGGGACTCGGCCACCCTGAAACCTACATGCCATCTTTCACTCTTCAACTTTTAGAAGAGATCAGGGGACCCAGGAATCCTGAGCTGGTAGAGGACTCAGGCTTTACAGTGGCCCCTAATGACCCAGACCTCCACCTCCTGGAGAAAGAAAGGAAGCTGGAGACCAGGATCGTAGGAGGAAAGACCTCTACCTCAACCATCCTTCATCTCCCCATCAGGGAAACCCTATATTCAGCCCAAGAGAGAAATTCCCGTACAGGAGCAGATCACTCTGGAGCCTGAACTGGAAGAGGCACTGGCCAATGCCACAGATGCTGAAATGTGTGACATTGCAGGTGGGCAGCTGTGGGACACTGAGGAGGGTGGGGACACCAGGGCCAGGGGTTCCTACCCAGGGCCTGGGACTAGTGAGGAAGGCCCTGAACAGGACATGGATGTTAGAGAAAGCCTCAGGCCATGGTTTTTATTTTTTGCTTGTTTGTTTATATATTCACTCATTCACTTTTTAATTTAGTAAGTTCACATCTCAAAGGCAATTTTATAGGAATTTTAAAGCAGATAAAAGTGGAACTATCCTGGCTGAAAACACGAGGAAGTCTGACAGACTCCCTCACGCTTTTTTTCCCTGAATGTGGAACACTGTTGTTGTTTTTCCCTCCCTCACCCTCTGGGGGTTCCTTAGGGACCTTCCCTTAGTCCTGCCTCAAAGTTTTAAAAGCCACCACCTTAAGCAGTTCATGTAAGGGCACTCTGGGACCTAGGGAGAGTGGGAACCTCACTGGAAGAGTGGAGGAGGTCAGGCTTTAAAACTACAACCGATTCAGAATATGAGGAGGGAGGAGGACTGGGAAGAAACCTGTCCCCCCTCTACTTGCTCTCTCCAGCAATCCTGGGCATGTACACGCTGATGAGCAACAAGCAATACTATGACGCCATCTGCAGCGGAGAGATCTGCAACACGGAAGGCATTAGCAGTGAGTGTGTCTGGGGGCATGATGCCCAGGGCTTTGGCAGGTGGTACCAAGGTCTGAGGGAAGGTAGCAAAGGGCGAAACAAGGGGATCACGGAGAGAATGTGGTACATGAATAATAAGAGAACCAATGGGGAGGAGATTGTGGAGGACATGTTGGGGTTTCCTTCTGGCCCTCACCCACCAGGTGTGGTGCAACCGGACAAGTACAAGCCAGTGCCAGATGAGCCCCCAAATCCCACAAACATTGAGGAGATCCTAAAGAGTGTTCGAAACAATGATAAGGAGCTGGAGGAGGTGAACCTCAATAACATACAGGTATCTGACCTCCCCATTCTTCAAATAATAAATTCCCATTTAACTATGTGAGTCCCAGATAATGTGAGTCCCTTAGCCCGCCATCTCTTCCCCTCTGACAGGACATCCCGATACCCATGCTAACGGAGTTATGTGAGGCAATGAAGACAAATACCTATGTCCGGAGCTTCAGTCTGGTGGCCACAAGGAGTGGTGACCCCATTGCCAATGTAAGGCAACTTGAAATCCCTAGCCCTCTCCCCATACCTTGACATGCACCCCTGCCAGGGCTGTCATAAGGGGCTGTGCTGGGGGTGCTATTCCCATTGTGTTCTCTTAGCATAGCCTGCGGGGAGACTCTACCCTCACTCCTATGAGATCCTCAGATCACCTTCTCAGAGAGCCACAGCCCTCTCTTCCGCCCACCAACTCCGCTGCACACTCACCCTCCGTGCTTCCCCTACTATCTGCGCTTCCTTCTGTCTCCCTCTAGCCCCACTGACAGCTCCTCAAGGACTCTTCTCAAAGAGCTGTGTTCCCTCTTGCTCTTGTTCTCTCTCTCCTCAGTCATTTGTGAAACTATCCCCTAATCCTAACCCAAGTCCCTACTACCCAGGCGGTGGCAGGCATGTTGCGTGAGAATCGTAGCCTCCAGAGCCTGAACATTGAATCCAACTTCATCAGCAGCACAGGGCTCATGGCTGTGCTGAAGGCAGTTCGGGAAAATGCCACACTCACTGAGCTCCGTGTAGACAACCAGGTCAGCATTTCCTTCCCCTGGTCTTTGCATTCAGCTAATATTCACTGAGTCTCTTCCCTCGGGCAGCCACTGGGTCAGGATCTCATCTGATCTTATCTGAATTCTCTTCATTGTCTCTATGAAGGGAGCCAAGTCAGCATCTCTCCTCACCCGCTGTCACGAAACAAGCTTCTTTGACCCCCCAAAGGGTTGGTGGTGTGGGTGGTGTGGGACCATGAACAACGCAGAGAGGGTAGCTGACAGGTCTCATCTCTCCCCCAGCGCCAGTGGCCTGGCGACGCAGTGGAGATGGAGATGGCCACCGTGCTCGAACAGTGTCCCTCCATTGTCCGCTTTGGCTACCACTTTACGCAGCAGGGGCCACGAGCTCGGGCTGCCCAGGCCATGACCCGGAACAATGAACTACGTGAGTAAATGCAGACATGTTGTGTGGGGGAAAGTGGATCCTCCTGAAAGCTGACTTAGTGACTAAGAGTCTGGGGTGCTGCCAAAACAAGTCACATGAGAAGGACGTAAGTGACCAGAAAGTAGATAGAAAAGTCCCCTGCCCCAAATTTATACCTGTAGGAAGGTGAAAAAGAATCTAGACATACCTGTTTGTGGGCATGGTATTTTTACTTGCCATGCCATTTCTTATTTTGCTTTGTTAATGGGGGGTGGGCATGCTTGCTGGCCTAAGACATTAGCTCTTTATGAGTCTGGCCAAGGAACTGGAAAGGGGAAGATGGGCACCTTTGCAGGAAGCAGGAGATGCAACAAAGATTTGTGTTTACTCTTTCCTGTTACAGGTCGCCAGCAAAAAAAGAGATAACACTACCTTTTCCCTTTACCAACTAGAGCTGGGAGCCCTGAATACCTAAATCCTCATCTCTCACCCTTCCTGTAAATAAAGGCCCTTCTGTCCACTCTGCCTGCCTCCTTCCTTGGGCTTTGGGGTGGGAATCTTGGCGCTAACCCCCAAGGGTTACTGCCAATTCATCAGGGGATTATTTATACTCTGGGGATCAGCAGGCAGGGAGGTTCAAGTTACTAGGCGGAGGTGGGGGAGCTCCCTCCCTTGGTGTTCCCCATGGCCCTGCCAATGCTGTTAGTCCCTTCTGCTCTCATAGGGACCTACCCCAGCCCTCTTTCCAGAAGTGGCCAGGCCCCCTGGTGCCTACCCACAATCCTCATGTAATCTGAAGGAGGAAAGGACTTTGAGTGGAGGTGGGGAAGAAGGCAGACAACATGAAGGGCAAAGACCTCCTTCTGACAGACTTATTAATAGGGCATTGGGCTGCGTGCAGCTGACGCTTGGCATGACTTTGGTAGAAGGTGGGGGAGGGGTTAGAAGTATGGGCAGCCGTGTACATTGCAGGGAAGAGTTAGCCAGGCTAAGAATGCAGATGTGAAATCCTGAAATGGGGGATGCCTGGGTGGCTCAGTCAGTTAAGCATCTGACTCGATCTCAGCTCAAGTCTTGATCTCAGGGTCGTGAGTTCAAGCCCCACCTCAGTCTCCACGCTGGGTGTTCAGCCTCCTTAAAAAAAAATCCACCAATGAGATCCTGCAATGGGACATGGAAGCCGACTCAAGAAAAGTTAGGCTCCCAGAGCCTGCTGAAATTTATTTGTGAACTGAGTGGGGAAAGAGGGTGTCAGTCTAAGGGGAGATCAGGGGGTTCTTCTTCATCAGAGTCAAACTCAACATTCTCATCTTTTACCCAGCGACCTTGTCCATCTGGGATCCAGCCAGAGCTAGAAATATCAGAGAAAATAGAATAGGTCAGGAAAAGAGGTTTAAGAAGTTAGTGGGGATAAGAAAAAAACAATTGAGGGGGCGCCTGGGTGGCTCAGTTGGTTAAGCGACTGCCTTTGGCTCCAGTCATGATCCCGGGGTCCTGGGATCGAGTCCCGCATCGGGCTCCCGGCTCAGCAGGGAGCCTGCTTCTCCCTCTGACCCTCTCCCCTCTCATGCTGTTTCTCTCTCGCTTGCTAATAAATAAATAAAATCTTAAAAAAAACAAAACAATTGAGAAAGATTGAAATAAGGAGAGTCAGAGAGAAAAGAGAAAACTTGAGGAAAGTGATTCTGCATACTCACCTTCGAAGGGTAAGGTAATGATCCAAGGCTCGTCTTCTTGTGGGGCTCATGGGTGCAGGGGACGAGACAGTTGCTGGCTCTTTGGCCTGTGGGCCAACCCCAGGCATGGGTTCCCTAGTGATCTTCCCACTCTCGGGCTCAACCTCTGGGGGTGGCAAAGGGGAATGGGAGACAGAGGGACGAGGGGTTTCTGGTCTGGGTAGAGAAGAATCAATGTCTATAAAAGTGATAAAGGAAAAGGGCCACTTCTACTATGACTCCCAGCCCCTTACAGCAGTGCTTCCTAAATAAACTGTGTTCCTCGAGATACTGATAAATGCCCTGCATAAAAAAGAATTTTGGAATCAAATGAATTTTTAAAAGTCTAGGTTAAAATTTTTTAGGTTTTTTTAATCTTAAAACTTTGTTGAGCCCTTCAAATATACTAATATTACTATTCTTCAAGTAGGATTACAAAGTGCAATTTCTGAAACTAAAAAAAAAAAAAGGCAAAATCCTCTTTTTTCTGAAATAGCAGTTAACATCTCTGGAATACTCGTATTCCTGAGAATACAATTCGGTATACCATCATTTTAGAGCCATTTATCTCCTCTGTCCCTCCCTACCTCTGGCTTTCCAACCCCACAGACCTGTACTTCCGGCGGCAGCAACTGTTATAGTAAGGAGCTCTGTGCAGAGCACTTTGGGTGGTAAGTCGAGTCTGGGTTAACAGAGGAGCCTGGTATGGAGATGGGAAACAGAGTCAGAGTCTTCAGAGCTAGAAAGAAGTCAAAGCCCTTCAAGCCTACCGTGCGCAGCAGGCCCACCTGAAACACAACCCACCCCCCCACTACCTCAGCCTTGGTCTCTGACGGCCTCAATTCATTCTGCTGTCTTGGACTCTGGTCCATTCCCTTTCCTGGCTGCTTCTTGCCATAGAAAAGCTGCAGGCCTGAGGATTGAGGGGAAGAGAATTAAAAACAGAACAGCAAGAGTATTTGCAGACATTTGGAAAGTTTATTCTCTAACACCCCCCCCCCCCGGTCTTCCCTCAAACTTACTGGACAGATGTTTCTTGCCTGCACGGTGGGCAGTCAGCATGGCCAGGGTATCCAGTACAGGTCGGTGGGGACAGATGGCACAAGCAAAGCTGGAGATGAGGAGAGAAGATATTTGGTCCCGGGTGAGTGGGGTCTGGGCTGTTGGTCCCACCTTGACCTAGCAATCCTTTCCAAAGCCAAACTCTGAGGTCTCCCAATCTCCACCACCCACATCTCTGTTCCTCACTCCCCACCAAAGAATCCTAGATACTTCCGCACTCCCCCCTTGATAACAAAATTTTATTAAGCTTCTAACCGCAGAACCCTCAGGCTTGATCACCCGTCGCCCTCACCGTCCATCCCGTAGCATCAGCGCCTCATCCTCTGGGATGTAACTGGCCAGCAGGTCCCCGACTCTTCGTTTCTACAGGGGGTAACGGGACGGGATCGGCCGGATAGGAGGGAGGGACGGAAGGGAAACGACAGGGACGAGGATTGAAAGGGAATAAGGACCATGAGAACAGAAATCACAAAGCGAAAAAGGGGTCACTACCCAGCTCTAGCCGCTCCCTCCCGCGTCCCCCTCGCCAACCGCAGCTGTTGCCAGAGCAACAAAACAGCTCCTTCACAGGGCAGTGAAACTGCTCCCAACGCTCTCCTCCCGCGCTTACTTTAAGCACGTTTAGTTGACTCCAATCATCCCCTTCCCTCTTGAAAGACATTACGACCGAGTCCCAGAAGCGAGCAATTCTCCTGAGCTGCCTCCGCCACTCCTTCCAGGCCACCGTAGCGAGAATGGGTCGTCTCCTATTTCCTTCGGGTTTCCTTCCGGTTGGCCTCCTTATTTCCCTGGAAGCGCTTCCCTGTATGCACAGCGCTATCCGAAAGCCCGCCCACAGCCTGCCGAGGGGACCGCCCTTCCGGTGCGACCTGGCGACCCCGCACGCGCGGGGCCTTTTGGGAAATGAAGTCTTTTTTTTCAAAGAGCTTGCCGCCCAGCTGGCTCCCGGCCCTTGCATCTTGGCTGATTCGAGGCGTATGGGGAGACAAGAACCTAAAGGTGGAGACCGATTTTGATGCTGTGACAGATTTGATGCGGAGCGGGCCTTGGAAGATCTCTGAGCGGAAAGTGGACTACAAACTCTCGCGGTCATCACGCGCCTCCTCTGCCGCCGACAGCCCACCAGGGGTGGGCCGGATTTATTCCTGACACTAGCGGACCAACCCCGGGACGGGGCGGAGCCAGGGAGTTGGGGGAACCCAGGAGGCGGGGGCTGCCCGACCTGGGCTGGGGGTGGCAAACTGAGCGGAGTGTGGAGGAGGGTAGCTACAGTTCAAAGGTCAGAGGTCAACGTAGCGAATTGTGAGAGGGTCGAAAGTCAGCAGGGTGCTAAGGATAGACTCAGGTAGGGACTGAATACTCGGCACAGGTTTGTGGGAAGGGGGCTTGGAAGGAGGACAAACGAGAGCTGAGGGGGCGCGAAGTGCCGGGGGAGGCGGAGAGTTAGGAGGGGAGACAGGAGGGGAAAGGAATCCCCTGGATATCCGTTCCTAGACCCCAGTCCCATCACTGTCGGGCACTTAGCCAGGTCTCCCTTAGCTGCAACCCCGGCTGTCGACAGGGTGAGGAGATGGCTTCTCCCTCTAGACAGGCCCCCCTCGGGGGGTCAGGACTGCTTCAAGGGAGCCGGGCTCGTTCTTACGGAAGCCTGGTGCAGTCCGCCTGCTCCCCGGTGAGGGAAAGACGCCTGGAGCATCAGTTGGCCCCCGGAGACACCCTGGCTGGACTAGCACTCAAATACGGGGTGACGGTGAGTCTTCCACGATCGGGATGCAGACAACCATTTAGAAATTTATTCCTCATTAGAATGTAATGACTCTTCTAGGCAACTTACCCTGAAATTTTCCTAACTGTGGTCTGATCCACCTTTATCTTTTTGTTTTCCCATCCCAGTGTTGCCCTGTCTGGTTGGGACAAATCCTGTGCCACTATCCCAGTGGGGAGGAGCTGCTTCTATTTATTATGTCAGTCTCTATCCTAGAGGCTTTACATACATTGGCCCATTTGGTTCTCACATCCCTTTCAAACATACAATTATTTTCCCCTGTTTACAGAAGAAGAAACTGAGACTTAGATTGGCTAACCAATTTGACCAAGGTCAACTAACTAATGAGTGTTAGAGTGGGAATTCAAACAGGTCTGACTCCAAAGCTCGTGTTATTAACCATATAGAAACTTTTTAAGGGAGAGGGAGAAAGAATCCCAAGCAGACTCACAGGCAGGCATGGAGCCCCTCTTGTGGCTCCACGCCAGGACCCTGAGACCAGGACCTGAGCAGAAATCAAGAGTCCGTTGCTTAACTGACTGAGCCACCCAGGCACCCCTGGTTCTAAGTTTTTAAACTCTATCTCTTCTGGTTCTTTTTTTACTCCTCAGCGCTCTGCATTCTTTCCAGTAGGGTGGCCTCCTTGGTGCAAAACAGGTACTCTCTACACCAGGCATTTCAGGCTGTGGGTGTGGTATATTTAATAGGTGTAAAAATACATTGCATTGAACTTGATGCGTTTTTTTCCATATCCTGTCAAATTTAGCCAACATTTCTTTTTATTTATTTATTTTTTTAAAGATTTTATTTATTTAATTGACAGAGAGACAGCGAGAGAGGGAACACAAGCAGGGGGGAGTGGGAGAGGGAGAAGCAGGCTTCCCACTGAGCAGGGAGTCCAATGCGGGGCTTGATCCCAGGACCCTGGAATCATGACCTGAGCTGAAGGCAGTCACTTAACCAACTGAGCCACCCAGGCGCCCCTCTTTTTATTTTTTTATTAACATTTTTTAGCCAACATTTTTTTAAGATTTATTTATTTATTATTTTAGAGAGAGAAAGCATGGGGTGGGGAGGGGCAGAGGGAGAGGGAAAGAATGTCAAGCAGACTCCCTGCTAAGCATGGAGCCAGATGCCAGGCTCGATCTCACGACCCTGAGATCATGTCCTGAGCAGAGATCAAGAGTGAGACACTCAACCGCAGCTGAGCCACCCAGGCACCCCTAGCCAACATTTCTATGCTTGGTATGTTTAAGCACTGTTCTAACCATCCCGAGAGATAGGAACATAAATAAAATGTGTAGATATTGCCTTCATGTAATTTGCAGTCTAGTGAGAAATGAATGGGGACACAGATAATGATTGCAGGTGACTGAATGTGGTGAGTTTGTAGAGGTATTAACAGAGGGTTGGAGGGGCACCTGGGTGGCTCATTCGGTTGAGTGCCTGCCTTCAGCTCGGGTCATGATCCCAGGGTCCTGGGATGGAACCCCGCATTGGGCTCCCTGCTCAGCGGGGAGCCTGCTTCTCCCTCTCCCTCTACCTGCTGCTTCCCCTGCTTGTGCTCTCTCTCTCAAATAAATAAATAGAATCTTAAAAACAAACAAACAAAAAAGGGTTGGAGATCAGAAAAGAAGATTAATTTTTAGCTGGAAAGGGACAAGGAAGGACACAAGTGTAGATTTTAAGGGAATTTTAAGGGGCCTTGAAAGATTTAGAAGTTCCTTCCCGTAGCTCCTCTACAAACCTGTAATCCTTTATACCTTTTTTTTTTTTTTTAAGATTTTATTTAGGGGCGCCTGGGTGGCTCAGTCGTTAAGCGTCTGCCTTCAGCTCAGGTGATGGTCCCAGGGTCCTGGGATCAAACCCCACATTGGGCTCCCTGCTCCGCGGGAGGCCTGCTTCTCCCTCTCCGACTCCCACTGCTTGTGTTCCCTCTCTCACTGTTGTCTCTCTCTGTCAAATAAATAAAAAATCTTAAAAAAGGAAAAAAGATTTTATTTTTTTGACAGAGAGAGACAGAGTGAGAGAGGGAACACAAACACGGGGAGTGGGAGAGGGAGAACAGGCTTTCCACCAAGCAGGGAGCCCGATGCGGGGCTCGATCCCAGGACCCCGGGATCATGACCTGAGCCGAAGGCAGATGCTTAACGACTGAGCCACCCAGGTGCCCCGAGTTGTTTGTACCTTTTAAATGTTTGTCTTTCCAATAACCTGTACTTTCCTTAAGGGACAGAACTATTTTCTTTCAATTTTATATCTCTGGAGTCTGGCATAGTCCCCAGCACATAGAAGCTAATAGATGTTTTTTGGGGCACCTGGGTGGCTCAGTTGGTTAAGCGACTGCCTTCGGCTCAGGTCATGATCCTGGAGTCCCTGGATCGAGTCCTGTGTCGGGCTCCCTGCTCGGCTAGGAGTCTGCTCTCCCTCTGACCCTCCCCCCTCTCATGTGCTCTCTCTCTCTCATTCTCTCTCTCTCAAATAAATAAATAAAATCTTTAAAAAAAAAAAGAAACTAATAGATGTTTTTTTGAACGAATGAAAACATGGCTAAGATTTCCACAGGTGGAGACTGGGAGGATAAGAAAGTGAACATTTCAAGTAGAGGCCATGGCCTAAACAAAGGAAGTGGATATGAAAGTACAGAGTGGCCCCTCCATCCCAGCAGAGGCTCAGAGGCTGTGCAAAGAAGGGAACCGTGCCACTGGTAAATCAGCTATTATTTATGGAGGTTTTCTTACAACCCTGTACCCTTCTGAGTACAAAAAAGTTCTGTAGTCTAGTGAAGGGTTCCAGGTTCTGGCCTCATTCTGCTGCTTACCAGCTAAGTGGCTGCATAAGTCACTTCATCTGTCTGGGACCTGTTTCCTTACCATTTGTAAAATGAGGAAGAGGTATTAAATAATGATAATTACCTGAGTTGTCATCTACCTGTCATTAAAGAACACTTAGTATATGCCAAGTTCTATATATTATCTCATATTATCTCCATAAGATTTTATGAAGTGGTTGTAACTAGTCCTCAAATATTTAAAGATAAGGAAAGCGAGGCTTAGGGTCATAGCTTGCTGCAGACTACAAGTCTGCTTAGTAGAGCTAGGATTCAGACCAGGTTGTCTCATTCTAAAATCCTCACTTGGAACTGCTCAGTTTAACTAGATTCTAATGGCCTTTCTAGCTCAGCAGACTGGCTCAGCAGCCTAGGACTCCTCTGGGGTTTGGCTTTGGTTGCATCCTTTTTAAAGGGGGAATGATGTTGCCTTATATGGTACTTCTAGGAAATAATAAAAGCACCAAAAATTCACAGAATTCATAACATCTTGGAGCTTGGGACTTAAGATATTACCTAGGCAAAATAAAATTTATAGCATCGAAGCGCTTTGCAAAATAAGGGTACAAAACTGCAAGCCAATTTTAACTTTTTTTATTCAAATTAATCCAGTTTTATTTTAAACACATTATAGCAAAAGATTTTTACTAACATACTACATTTGCGGTTTCTATATTTTGTCATCTAGTTTATTTACTCATAAAGCATTAATGAACTTCTGCTGTGTGCCAAGTTTGTGTGATCCTGAGGAGTGCCTTAGGATACAGAAACAGCATCCCTGCCCTCAAAGGACTCACAGAGTTTGGGCAAGACAAATATGCAAAGAGGTGAATAACAATATGATAGGGTAGGTATTATGTGGCAATATTTACAGCATACCTTGGGAGCCCTGGAGAAGGTAACACGAAGGGAGTGATAGTTGATGAGAAGAAGTTTTCCCATTAGAGAAGGGGACGGTGGAGAAGTAATTTAGGTAGATAAATACACAAAGGTGTGAAAGATCATAAAATGTTCAGAAAAAAAATGAAAAGTTCAGGATGGCAAAATGTATAGGTGGCAGAAGAAGAGAGATGAGGCTAGACATCTTACGGGGGTAGATTGAGAACCCTTGAATGCTAATTTGAATTTTATCTCTGAGCCAATGGGGAGCCATA